CTGCACCCTCCAGTACGTGTGATAAAAGGATGATGGCACACAGAAGCAGGGGGCATTTTTGGTTTGCTGCAGGTGGATAATTTAAGTTCGGCTTTTTATTTCATAAATACAAGGAGGACTCAAATAGACATTGAGTATTTTATTTGAAAGTAACCTTCAACCCAGCATCTTTTTTTTCGGAGTTCAAAATGTTTTTGTTGCATGCAGAAATAAAAATTTGTTTTCTCTGTAGCAATTCATTGATTTCAGAAATGCAACACACTATATTTTTTTTACACATAGCATATGCGGTGTTATCTTCATTTTAGATGTCAAAAGGGTTTTGCAGCTTCCGGTGTTTTCTTTTCTGTGGGAAACGGGTCCAAATGGCTCTTTGAGTGTTTAAGGTTGCTGACCCCTGCCCAAGTCAAATTTCCCCATAAGGTTCAATGTAAATAAGGTTAATCCATTCTGATCCCTCTGAATGTGGTTGTGAGCCAGTTTTTGGTCGTGAGTCAAGTCAAATTTCCCCATAAGGTTCAGTGTAAATAAGGTTAATCCGTTCTGTTACTTTTTTTTATCAGAAATTTTGAAACAAAGTGACAAAGAACAACAAAGTAACAAAGTCCTGTACAGTACAGTGGAGAACACTAACCTATGTCTGGGGGGAGATTATTGTTTTGAGGGAGAGTTCCCCTCCATAAGGACATTGGGGAGATCTCTTTCAGGGGTTTCCTCTCTTTGTCTCTTAGCTGCAGGGTCAATTTTGGTGAAAAATCTGCCTATAGTCACTTGTTTTTTCCTGTGCTGCATAGCCCTCCGGAAATGAGAGACCACATTATTGTTCATCAGATGCAACACTCTGTTCATTACATTTATGTTGGGGTGGGGCTTCTCAAAGAAACCCTGGCGTGGGCACGCTCCTGCAGGAAAGACGGGTGCAATCTCGGCCATCTCCCCTGCACCCCAACCAGCACGACTGCAGCCATCTCCCCACCCCCACCCCTGAGTGGGGTGATGGCCACGAATGCAGTTACATTCATGCAGGAAAGACGTGCGTGATCACAAGTCAAAGTTTTCATGAAATTTTTGTTCGTGACCCAATTTGGTCGTGAACCAAGGTGTTTGTGAGCCAAGTTACCACTGTATTCTCCATTCGTAAACAGAGCTTCAGTATCTGCTTCACCCTCTGATATTTATTTATTTGATTAAAAGCTTTTCTGTCCTGTCCCCTGCAGAACATCTCGGGATGGCTTACAATAAATAAATAGAATAGCACAGCCCCACAGCTTTCGATCATTAATATACTAAAGCCCCAATTAAAATAAATCAAACATTAAAATAACAGGGAAATAAAAAGGGTTTTTCCTGAAGCTGAAAAGAACATAACATTGGCACCAGGCAAACCTCCCTGTGGAGCATATTCCATAGTCAGGGCGCCACCACAGAGAAGGCCCTCCTCCGGGTACTCTCTCTCCTAATCCCCATCAAGGATGGCTCCTGGAGCAGGGCCTCCACCTAGGATCTCAAGGCGCGGGAGGGCACATAGGGAAGAACATGCTCCTTCAGGTATCCAGTACCTAAGTTATATAGGGTTTTATAGGACATCACCAGCACCTTAAATTGGGCCCGGGCATCAATTGGTAGCCAGTAGAGGACTGGAGTTATATGTGAAAATTTGCTGGTCCCTGTTAGCATCCTAGCAGCAATATTCTGAACCAGTTGAAGTATCCTGACCATCTTCAAGGGCAGCCCCACACAAAGTGCGTGACAGTAGTCCAGCCAGGAAGTTACCAGAGCGTGGGTCACTGTTGCAAGGCAATGCTCATCCAGGTAAGGACACAGTCGGTGGATCAGCTGAAGCTGAAGGAAAGCGCTTCTCACCACCACTGCTAGCTGGGACTCCAGGGGCAGCTCTAGGTCAAGGAGCACTCCTAAACTGTGAACCTATCCTTTAGGGGGAGTGCAACCCCATCCAGGACAGGGTGAAAAGCACTTGCGTGGAAGACTGAACTGCCAACCAACAGGACCTCCATCTTGTCTGAATTAAGCCTCAATTTATTGGCCCTTATCCAGCCCATTAGCTCATCCAGGCACTGGTTAAGGACAGCCAACGCCTCACCTGGGCTAGATGTAAAAGAAAGGCAGAGCTGGGTGTCATCAGCTTACTGATGACTCTGCAGCCCAAACTTCCTTATGACCTCTCCCAGTGGTTTCATGTAGAGGTTAAAAAGCATGGGGGACACAATGGAACCCTGTGGAACCCCATGACAAAATTGCCATGGCACAGAGCCAGAGTCTCCCAGCAGCACCTTCTGGAATCGGCCAGACAGGTAGGAGTGGAACCACTGCAAAGCAGTGCCTCCAACTCCCAACCCGGCCAGCCTATCCAGAAGGATACCATGGTCGATGGTATTGAAAGCTGCTGAGAGGTCCAGGAGAACCAACAGGAACGCACTCCCCCTGTCCCGCTCCCTGCACAGGTTGACCAAGGCAGTTTCAGTTCCATAGCCGGGTCTGAAGCCAGAATGAAATGGGTCAAGATGATCAGTTTCCTCCAAGAGTGCCTGGAGTTGTCCCGCCACCACCCACTAAAGCACCTTGCCCAAAAATGGGATATTGGCCACCCCCTCCCCCCATAGTTAGCAGCTATCTCTGGATCCAGAGACGCTTTCTTCAGGTCAAGCCTTAGCACTGCTTCCTTCAAAGGGGCAGGAACCCGGCCCTCCCTCAGAGAGGGGTTGATGACCTCCTGGACCCAGGTACATATCCCAGTTTTGGCTTTGGTGAGAAGCCACGAGGGGCAAGGGGCAAGCAGACAGGTGGTGGGTTGACCAATCCAAGCACCTTGTCCACATCCTCAGGTTGCAACAATTGAAACTCATCCAATAAATGTGCACTAGATGGCACTCTGGACACTCCCCATTCTTGGATCGTATCAACTGTGGAGTCCAGCTCGTGGTGAATCTGAGCAATTTTGTCCTTAAAATGCTGGGCAAAGTCATCACAGCAAGCTATGGATGGTGCAATAGGATTCTTTTTAGGGCCAGAATGTAACAGGCCATTTAGCACCCAAAAAAGCTTAGCTGGGCACTGTGAGGAGGCAATGGAAGTGGAGAAGAATTCCCTCTTTGCCTCCCTCACCACCACAGCATAGGCTCGATAATGAGCTCTAAGTTGTGATTGGTCAGATTCATCCTGGGATTTCCTCCACCTACGCTCTAGTCATCGCCCAGCTTGCTTCACTGGCTGCCGCTCAGGCATATACCATGGCGCCGAGTGGGCTCTGCATGATGGGAGAGGGTGCTCAGGAGTGACTGTGCCAATTGCCCTGGCCATTTCCCCATTCCACAAATCAACCAGGGTATCAACAGGAATGCCAGCTTTATCAACTGGAAAATCCCCCAAGTCCTCAGGAAACCATGTGGAACCATGAGACTCTGGGGGCAGACCATTTAATAGGGTCCACATCCTTACAGAGGGAGGCCACAAAAAGGCCACAAAATATGTGGCCTGTTTTGTTCAAAATTTGTCTGGTACAGGCAGATGCAGAAAAGCCTGCAATTGGTAGGTTGATTCAGGCAGACCTTGTGGCAAGTAATGGAGCAGCAGATTAAAGTAAAAGAGGTGGAAGGACAGAGAAAAGGAGGAAAGAGAGGTAAAACAGAAAGGTGCCAAGTAAATAAGGGAGAGAGAAGGCACGGGGGGAGCTGGAGGTGGAAAGGCTGGGCTAGATGAATCACAAGTCGGAATTAAGATTGCCAGGAGATATATCAACAACCTCAGACATGCAGACAAAACCACTCTCATGGCAGAAAGTGAAGAGGAACTAAAGAATCTCTTGATGCAGGTGAAGGAGGAGAGCACAAAAGTTGGCTTGAAACTCAGCATTAAGAAAGGTAAGATCATGGCATCTGGTCCTCTCACATCCTGCCAAATAGATGTGGAAGAAATGGAGGTAGTGACAGATTTTATTATCCTGGGCTCCAAGATCACCGCAGGCGGGGACTGCAGCCAAGAAATTAAAAGATGCTTGCTCCTGGGGAGGAAAGCTATGGCAAATCTAGACTGCATACTAAAAAGCAGAGACATCACCCTGCCGACAAAAATTTGTATAGTCGAAGCTATGGTTTTCCCAGTTGTAATGTATGGCTGTGAGAGTTGGACCATAAGGAAGGCTGAGCACTGCAGAATTGAGGCCTTTGAACTGTGGTGCTGGAGGAGACTCCTGAGAGTCCCTTGGATTGCAAAGAGATCAAACCAGTCAATCTTAAAGGAAATCAACCCTGACTGCTCTTTAGAAGGCCAGATACTGAAAATGAAACTCAAATACTTTGGACACCTAATGAGAAAGAACAACTCACTGGAAAAGACCCTGGTGCTGGGAATTATTGACGGCAAAAGGAGAAGGGGGCAGCAGAGGATGAGGTGGCTAAATGGAGTCGCTGGGGCAGTGTGTGTCAGCTTGGGTGGACTCCAAGGGATCTTGGAGGACAGGAGAGGCTGGAGGAATGTTATCATGGGGTCACAATGGGTTGGGTGCAACTTTGCAAGTAAACACATTTGGAAAAAGGGGCTACACAATTTTCAGCTTAAGACTTTCAGGTTGACTCTTCCCCAACAGATACAAAGGGTTCCCACTCAAACAGAGGTTTCTTGGGATGTAGTGCTGAAAATGTTGTAAGGGTTGCGGAGGATACAGAAGTGATGTAAATACTTGAATACAAAACCTCCACTTTGGATTTCCATTGCTAATCATATGAATAGTGCCTTGTGTAGCTGGCACTTCAATAAAATGAAAGTTAAGAGCATGGGACTGGGACTCAGGTGATCTGGGTTCTAGTCCCCGCTCAGCCATGGAGCCAACTGGGTGACTTTGGGCCAGTCACAGACTCTCAGCCCAACCTACCTCACAGGGTTGTTGTTGTGGGGATAAGATGGAGGAGGAGATGTAAGCTGCCTTGAGCCTTTGTAGGAAAAAGGCAGGATATAAATTGAAATAATAAATCAATACATAAATAAAATGTCCTTCAGGCACTTTGGGGTGGGGCATGTTGTTTTTAGAGCAATGGAAGATCCATCCTGCACTCTGGCAGAAATCTGGATTAGGAAGGCATCTATTACTTGCCCACAAATTCTTGCCCACAAAGAGCTAAGAGCTAGGGAGGACCACAAACCCAGACCTCTGCATGGGGTTCGGCAGTTGCTGTCTCTAGGTCCCATAGAAATAAACACGACTCAGTGAAAATCATGTCTGACCCTTTGGGTGTAGTCCTGCCCATTTGTTTCCATAGGACACCATTCCTTAGGAACCGGCTTTTTATGTAGTTGACCTAGGAAGGCTTGAGTTCTTTCAAGGGAAGAAATGTGTTACAGATTTAAAATAGCTGCACGTAAAGTTAATCTATGAGAGTGCAGAGTTTTAGCATCAGTTTTATTACAAAAAATGTTCTGCACCCATTCTTATTCTCTCAGAAAAGAACTGGTGCCCATGTAAAGCAGAAGGGATGAAAAATTCTTCATTTTTCAATGCTCAGCAGGCTGTTGTTTTCTCCTCATGTTCATTTTTTGGTGGGGTTCAGAATTTTCCCCATGAACAGAATGTTGTCCGTTTGGGTATGCCAAATGATAATCAAGAAAGGTCTGTTGAAATTGAGGACAAGCAGCGGATGAGGCGAGGCAGAGCGCAGCATGAACTCTATCGTGGTGACAGCTGCCACTTCTGTGCCGCTCTCATTCATATCCAGCATAATATGGTGAAGAGCCTATAGGGAAAGAACCACATTTATGGCCCGTGTGTGATCCAAGTACCCCGCCAGTGTGTTACAGACAGAACAGAAACACCACTGCAGTGATCACTGGTTTATGCTTCCCAGTACAGGCAACTAAAGAGGCCATTGCCAATTGCAGGACCCCAAAACACTCCAAAAGCAGTTGGCCAGAGGGAGACCACATAATAAAAACACCACAGTTATACTGTCCCAGAAGGGAGAGGGGATAAGAACAAAATGAACTTTGTGTAACCCACAGCTAGCAAGCTATCCTGATCTCATCAAAGGGACAGGGAAAACCGGTTGTAGCTGCCATGGAAGTTGCAAATGCAAGGCAGTAACAACCTGGCAAGCCTGTGTGCATCTCGAGAGAAATAGACATGGGAAATGTCCAGTCCTTGACAGAAGAAAGGACCCGTTGAAGCTAACAGTGGGCTGGGAGGTGCATACATTGATGTATGGATGCATTTGATGTGTATTAGGTGACCTAATTGCTTATGTACAGTAGCATATAAAATGCATATACTGGGCTGCAACTTTCGAGACTGATTTGGGAAAGCTTCATTCCCCTCTGTCTCTGTTTATGCTAAAGTGCACTAGAATAAAACTGTTTTGGCTCCAAGTCTCATCTCAGGCTCCTTTTGGCTCAGGGTCTGGGGTCCACCTGGGTTCGCTCTAGCTGTGGCCTGGCTGAGCCTGGAAACAAAGCTCACCGCCACCACCACCACCAGCATCGCCATAATTATCATTATCATTGTTATTATTGTCATGTCACCACCACCATTGTCCTCATAATCACCATCTACTTACTAGTCATAGAATGTTTACTACTTTTACCTCTTCCTTTTCCTTATTTCTATTTTTATCCTTCCTGAGTTGATTATGTTGCAGATCTATTATATTGCAATTAACTGTTTCATGACCTCTGAGATGTAGCTGCTCAGTGTATTTGCATTTTTATGCGTTGTTATAAGCCACCCTGGCAACTCTAGCACTGAAGGGCGGGATATAATTTTAGGAATATGTAGATATGTTCTTCATGAGAAGCAGCTCAAAAAACACCCCAGCTGGTGCAAATGAGGAGGCAACATGTAACACATGTTGCCTTCAGGTCCATAAATTAAAGTACAAGTGCACTAGTGGCAAGGTCCTCCCACATTTAAGTAGGGATGCATGATAATTCTATGCCGTCTGTGTTTTTATTTATTTATTTGGGACATTTCTATCCCGTCCTGCAGAAATGTCTCAGGACAGCGATCCAAACCATATGGTGGCAGCATACAGAAATATAATATAAATATCCAGTAAAACTAATATTAAAAACCAAAGTTAATCCTTAAAATACAGGGAAAATAAAAGGGGTTTGGCCTGGTACCACCCTTGATAACCCGCTGTGATGACTTTGCCCTGCACTTCAAGGAGAAAGTTGCTCATATTCATCAACAGCTGGACTCCACTAGTGACTCAGATTCCTTAGGGGAGGTGCCAATGTCACCGTCTGGTCACATATTGTTGGATGAGTTTCAGTTATTGCGGCCTGATGATGTGGACAAGGTGCTTGGACAGGGACGTACCACCACCTGTTTACTGGACCCCTGCCCATCGTGGCTACTGTCCAAAGCCAAAGACGGGATTGGTTCCTGGATCCTGGAAGTCATCAACGCCTCTTTGAAGGATGGCTGGGTGCCTGCCCCTTTAAAGGAGGCGGTGGTCAGGCCGGTCCTAAAGATTCAGGGATGGCTGCCAATTATAGACCGGTGGCCAACATCCCGTTCTTGGGTAAGGTGCTGGAGCGGGTGGTGGCGGGACAATGCCAAAGACTCTTGGATGAGACTGATTATCTGGACCCATTTCAGTCCAGCTTCAGACCCGGATACGGTACTGAATCTGCCTTGGTCGCCCTGTACGATGACCTGTGCAGGGAAAAAGACAGGGGGAGTGCATCCCTGTTGGTTCTCCTGGACCTCTCAGCAGTTTTCGATACTATCGACCATGGTATCCTTCTGGATAGGCTAAGGAGACTGGGAGTAGGAGGCACTGCTTGGCAGTGGTTCCACTCCTGCCTGTCTGGCCGATTCCAGAAGGTGGTGCTGGGGGACTTTGGCTCTGCACCATGGCAGCTATGCCATGGAGTTCCACAGGGGTCTATTCTGTTCCCCTTGCTATTCAACATCTGCATGAAACCACTGGGAGAGGTCATCCAGAGGTGTGGGCTGCGGAGTCATCAGTATGCTAATGACACCCAGCTCTACCTCTCATTTTCCACCAATCCAGGTGAGGCAGTGGCTGTGCTGAACCGGTGCCTGGCCGAGGTAATGGGCTGGATGAGGGCCAATAAACTGAAGCTCAATCCAGACAAGATGGAGGTCCTGCTGGTGGGTGGTTCAAACTCCTGTGTAGGTGACTTGGATCTTGTCCTGAATGGGGTTGCACTCCCTCTAAAGGACAGGGTCCGCAGCTTGGGAGTGCTCCTCAGCCCAGAGCTGACTTTGGAAGCTCAAGTGTTGGTGCTGGCGAGGAACACTTTCCATCAGCTTTGGCTAATCCATCAGCTGCATCCCTACCTGGAGGATGACTGTCTAGCAACAGTGATGCATGCACTGGTTACTTCCCAGCTGGATTTCTGTAACGTGCTCTACATGGAGCTGCCCTTGAAGACAGTCCGGATACTTCAGATGGTGCAAAATAGAGTGGCCAGGTTGCTGACGAGGACTGGGCATTATTCTCATATAACCCCAGTCCTCTACCAGCTTCACTGGCTCCCCATCGAAGTCCAGGATCAATTCAAGGTTTCGGTAATCACTTATAAAGCCCTTAACGGCTTGGGACCCGGATACCTAAAGAAACGCCTGTGGCCATATTTGCCCTCCCGCCCCTTGAGATCGGCAGCAGAGGCTCTCCTCCGGGAGCCTTCCGTGAGAGATATCAGGAGGCAAAGCACCCGGAGGAGGGCTTTCTCTGCGGTGGCGCCCCATCTGTGCAATGCGCTCCCCAGAGAGGTCCAGCTGATGCCGTCTTTTTTTTTTTTTTCGGCGCCAGGCCAAGACCTTTTTATTCAAACAATACTTTAATCATGTTTATTATTTATATATTTTTATGCAGCCAGTGTGTTTCCAGGTTTTAATTGTTATTGTTATTGTTTTATTGTTACTTTTGTGAGCCATCCCAAGGCTATGTAGCAAGGGGACGGCATATAAAAATTTTAAATAAATAAATAAAGCGTTGGTGCCAGGTACACCTCTCCAGGGAGCAGGTCCCAGAGTCAGGGCACTACCACAGAAAAGGCTCTTCTTCTGATCTCCTTCAAAGAGGGCCCCCAAAGAGGGACCTCAGAGGAAGATCTTAGGGGATGGGCAGGTGTGTACAGAAGCAGATGCTCCTTCAGATACCCAGGCCCTAAACCATTTAGGGTTCTATACCTCATCATTTAACACCTTAAATTGGGCCTGGATAGGGAGACTAGAGCTGATAGGGAAACACTGGTGCCACTTGTGGAATCAGCGGGTCAGATATACCCAGAGACAGGTCTAACATTCAAGGCACCAAAATCTTTGTTGGTCAGAATCATGTATATTTAGATGGGGTGGTTTGAGTAATCTCCAATTATTTTGAAGGGATTTAAGTTAAATGTGACTGTATTGGTCTTTCTTGGCAATTTTCTGCTTCAATATATATTAAATCTGATTGCACTGCCATCACTGTTTCCAACTACTTCAAGGGCATTTAGATCTTATACTAGCTCATGGGTGACACATTTTAGGATTAAATCCAGGGTCATCTCCTTTGGCCAGAAAGGAGACCAACCATTATAGGGCATAATTGTTTAGGGCACTAAGAGCATTGTTTTGGCCATTATCATGGTGGGAACATGTATTCATTCAGTCAATGCAGAGGTAATTAGAGTCACCCAGTATTATAGCACTTCCTTCATTCGAAGGCCTCCCTGATTTTGTTTCCATTTGACAATCACTCTGACATTGAGGTATGGGGGAGATAGCATAATCTTAGCAAGGCATCAGTTTTGGAGCTTGGCCTCATCACCCTTTTAGGCTTACTAACTTACTCTAGCTCTATCCTCTTTGATGTACAGAGAAATGCCTCCTGCAGCACACGCCACCTGCAGTTCACATCCAGAGACGATCCTATTGCACTAGTTCTCTCCATTCCATTGGTTTTCTGCGGTGCCTACTATATCAAGCCTCTCTTTTAAAACCAGGCACCCCAGTTCTCCTAATCTGGATTAGAAGCTTCTAACATTTGCACAGATACTTCTATATTCAGTGTCTCTCTCCAGATGTTCCTGGCATGTGCAACTTTGGCACGTAGAGGTCTTTGGTTATTATATTTCACCATATTTTCATGGCTCGTTTCCTTCCCTCCTACATTTTGGTAATCAGAAATGTTTCCATCTTCATCTCCTAGGGCAGTGATGGTGAACCTTTTAGAGGCCGAGTGCCCACACTGCAACCCAAAACTCACTTATTTATCACAAAGTGCCAACACTGCAATAAAACCTGAAAACTGAGTTTTTAGTTTAGAGAAAACAGCTCACAGCCAGTCCAAGCAAATGTATATATATCCTTGGCAGCGCACTGCCCAGCCATGCAAAAGCTCGGACGAGTCGCAGCTAATGAGTTGCAGTTTGTGATGTCATCACCTGGTGCCGCTGCTCCTTTTTGATCATGCACACGGCCCCTATGTGCGCTGATGCTCGGCTGCTGGGGCGATGCTGGGGCGACTTGGCTTGTGTGCCGACAGAGGGCTCTGCTTGCCCGGTGTGGCACCCATGCCATAGGTTCGCCACCACTGCCCTAGGGGTTATTTAACCTGGACCAAATACTTTCCAGCTCTTCTTGGCTTTCCGTAGGGTTCATTCTAAAAACTGCTCTGCCACCTTTTTATGCTTAGGTCCTGCAAGCTATCTCCATGTTGGTTCAAGCGGAACCCATTCCTCTTGTGCAGGCCTAGCTTGTCCCAAGAGGTTCCCCAGAACCTAAAAATCAGAGCTCCTGCTGCCTGCACCACTGCAGACTTACCCACAGATGGAAACTTCACGCCTTCACCTGGCTGCTGGCCCTGCACATGGAACAGGCAACCTTTCAGAGGAAGCTTCCTTAGGGGTCTGGGATTCCAACTTTCTACCTAGCAACCTGATTTTGTCTTCCGTGTCTTCACAGTTACATTTCCTGCATTGCTGCTATTAATATGGTTCAGAACTGCTGACTCCCCAGGTATGTAAATGGAACATGATATCCACAACCTTCACATCAATTTACTTTGCAGACTACACAGCTATAACAAACTCAGATGTGCATACAGTGGTATCTCGGCTCATGAACGCCTAAGTTCACGACCAAATTGGGTCACGAACAAAAATTCCATTAAAATTTTGACTCAGGTGGCGAACTCCGCATTGGGCGGTGACCTCGATCGTGGCCATCTCCCCACTCCCCCTCGATCGATCATGCTGGGGGCGGGGGGGGGGAAGATGGCCGAGATCGTGCCCATCTTTCCTGCAGGAGTGCGCCCGTGATTGTGCCCATCTTTCCTGCATGAGCACAACCACAATCTTGGCCATCTCCCCCCGCCCCAGCACGATCACGCCCATCTCCCCCCGAGGGTGCCTGCGTTCGCGCCCATCTCTCCCCCACAGTGCACCTGTGTTCATGTTCATCTCCCCCCGCCCCCCCCCCCAGCATGCCTGTGTTCACGCCTGTTTTCGGGCGGGGAGATGGCCATGCTCATGCTTGGGGTGGGGAGTGGGGAGATGGCCGCAATCATTGTTATTCTTTGTCACTTTGTTTCTTCACATTTTTCTGATTAAAAAAGTGGTTATAGAACGGATTAACCTTATTTACATTGACCCTTATGGGAAAATTTAACTTGGCTCATGACCAGTTTGGGTCACAACCAGAGTCCTGGAATGGATTAAGTTCGTGAGCCAAGGTACCACTGTATGTCCAAATCTCTCACTCCCTGCAGGCACTTCCTCTGTGCAAGAGGATATTTGCTCATTTTCTGAGAGATGCATCACTTCTCTCTTTCTCAGAATGATGCCCTTCTCTAAAAACCCATCATCCACAACAGCAGAAGAGCTGTCAGCCAAAGACCGGGAGACCTTCTATTCCTAAAGGTCTTGTTCATCAGCCTTTCTCCCTCTTAGCTTTCCCAGGTTAGCCACCTGGAAACTGTGCTGTTTACTAGGAGAAGGTGGGAAATTTACATACTACTACTTATGTATATGCATTTATTTAGAGTTGCCTGCTTTAAGAAGGGAGAAAAGAGTTGACTCCCCTGGCCTGTTGCTAAACTTTTGCAGGTTCTCTGTCTGTCTGTCTATCTATCTGTCTATCACATTTCTATGCTGCCCAATAACAGAAGCTCCTCAAGTGGTTCACAACAATTAAATCCAGTCAATGCAACATAAAATACACAATAAAAATTAAGTGGCAAAATAGAAGTAAAAGCCAAAGTAAAATTTAGCAATAGGACAAAGATTTCAATGGGGCTGTTGGCCACTTAAGTTTCTTCAGAATAGAGGCTTTCCACTGAGAAGAGAGGGCAATAGTCAATGGGGGATTTTTCTTTTTTGGGGGAAAGGACAAAACCAATGGGCCATGGTGGGGTGTGGGGTGTTCAGATTTAGGATGAAATGTCATTCAGGCTTCTTTGGAGATGTGAGGGACCAAGGAGCTGGCAGTGGGTTTCTGATTTGGGAAGGGATGTGGTTTGTAAGGGCTGGGTCCCTTTTGGAGTGGCTTTTAAAACAAAATATAAGTGAAACTATCATTTGGGTAAACCTATTTTTGAGCTTAGGTTTATGACTTGCTATAAGAATAAAAACTTGAGCTTGCTCTAAGCCCAGACAAAATACACATTTTTGTTTATAAGCAGACCCTTCCACTAGGTAGGCCTGACTCTTGTCAATACAGAACCATGCATCACTTTTCCTGCCCCTTTCTAAGCTTGGGTTTAGGTTAAAAATGGGGTTGAGATTCCCTTTGGCTATTTGGAAATCTCTGTTACAGCAACCATAAATACCTGCTGGATTTTACCCTTGGAAGTTTAGTCCTAGTGTAAATTTGTTAATGGTTGCCCTTCTTTGATTTATCCTTTTGCTAGGCTCTTGCTTTGGCCTCAACTGATAATTTATGAGTTTTAAATTACTCCTGGCAAACCATGTACTCCCTCCCTCCCTCATTTGCATATTTAATTGAAGGAAATAAGCATGGTGATGGGTTGCATCAACTCCAATCACATACTTACCTTAGAAACCTTCAGATTTCGCTGTCCAGTAATTCCAGACAGATCAGCACTGTCATTAAAGATCGCAGTCATACCCATTCTCTGCAGCACAGTTTTGATATCATAGGATGCAGTAATGGATAATTTGGGGATGAACAGAGCTATATTTCTGTTAAACAAAAGCAAAAATAACCCAAATTTTAAAACCAGCAGTCTTCTGCTGTGAGGAGGTGACCCTGGTTTGGCTCACGCCCCCACCTTCATTGGTCAAACTACTGGCAATTAGCATCATTATCGACCTTGTTAGGTTTGTTTACTTTTGCAAAGAGACAAAGAACAAGGAAGGGGGAGAAAAATGGAATATGATAACCTAAGAATGAGGCCCGAACTTCAGGTTATCATTAAACATAGGTGCTAGGTTCAACATATGTAGAAAATGATTACAATATAGAGCGGGCAGCAAGCCATTCTATTCAGGGAACATCCAGCAGTATAAAAGGAACTTAATTTTGGGGCGTTGTACTTCTGACTAGGGTTAGCATGAAACTCCATGGAGTCCATTCCTCTACCGTTCAAGGACTTCCTCTCATGTGTGGCCTGGTCTTGGAAGGTGAGCCGCGCCAAGAGGAAGTCAGCAAATATGCGGAATGAAGGCTGTGCAGCCATAAACCTCCTCTTGTGCCTGACCATGCTTTCTTCCTGAACGGACTTTGTCTCGTGTTTCAGCCACTGGCTCTGAGCTTTGGACTGTGTGACTGTGCTCTTGGACGAACCCTTGTGCTGCAGCCCGGCTGCCCGGGTCCTGGTCTGCAAGTCAGCCACCCCTGCCCTGGACGTGGACAGTGTGGACACAGCATCCGTGAACAGTGCCTAGCGCAGCGGCACAGCACTTGCATTGCACGCCGGAGGGCCCAGGGTTGGCCCCGGCATCTCCAGGGAGGGCTGGAGAAGCCCTTCTTTGAAACCCTGAAAGGTTGCTTCTGGTCAGTGCTGGCAATACTGAGCTTGACCGACCAGTGGCCCGGCTTAATATCAGGCCACTCCTCACGCTCCTAAATCACGAGGAGAACAGGTCCCTCCTTTCAGACTGGTGAACAACAGCCCAACCCTCCCACCCCATGCAATTGCGATCTTCCAAGGTCGCTGAGAATTCTCCAACCCCAGGCTTCAGAATATGGATCTTGGACTCAGGCCACCTGGGTTGTCGTGTCCGCTCAGCCACGGGGTTCACTGGGTGTCCTTGGCCCAGTCACAGACTCCCGGCCCAACCTACTCCACAGGGTTATCAGTCATCCCTATACCATTTGAGGATCACAATGTGATAATATGGTGTATTCAGAATGCTGTACGGAATACTATTAAAACAATATGCAATATACCATTTGATTTAAAAACAGATTTAAAACAAACAGGGTTGTCATGGGGATAAGATTGAGAGCAGGAGGAAGACGCCTTGCTCCTTATGAGTTCCTTGAAAAGGAAACAAGGTGGAATATAAATATAATCAATAAATAAATGCATGTCAGGTGGCTACTCTCAATTAATCTTGCGCAGTCCTTAAACAAGTGGCGGGCAACGTGGCATTGGGTGACAATTTCAGCCTCTTGCAGCCTCTCTGAAATTCGGCAGCGGCAGCCGCAAAAGAATCCATTTTGTCAGGAAATAGCAGTTGCCAACTGCCACATCTTAAGAAATCCAAATTTAGCTTTAAAATCAAAGGCATGAAGAGTTGCATTTAGTTTGCATGAATTTACTGCTACGGTAAATTCAAGGGGGAGATGGGGGTTACCAGACAGTGTCTGTGCCCATGGGCCATATGTTGCCTACATCTGCGTTAGAATACTCAGGTATGCAAGTGAAGAATATAAGAGATCCAACCCTTCCACTCCTGGTTAGCACAAACAGTGGCTGGGACGGCTCCTGCTCATATATAGCGTACAATAATTTTAAAACATGCCTAGCTTTGTTTGGGAACAAATGCAGTTTGTGTCTACTATGCTAAATAAGACTTCATTAGCATGTCAAAATAGGAAGGAGAAAAGGCTTACTCATATCTAAAGTTTTTTGTCCATTTAGACAGACTTTCTTTTGCCAAATTACTTTCCACGTGCTCCAGTTTCCCATTCTCTGGCAGAATGAAGAATGCTACTGCATTGCTTTTGTAGGGAAGTTCGACCACCCAGCAGGAGAGCTCTTCATCATGGAGATACTTGTAGTAGCCTTTTCGATGCATCATGTTGACTTTCACGGTAGTGTTTGCATCCACAAAGAAAGTTTTTTCCCTGATCAAGTGAGTATCAAAAGGATTTTTCCAGGAAGCTTGGAAGAAAAAGATTATTTAACAGAGCAGTGTGAATATTTCATTCCTCAAAAGACAGTGTTGTATACAATAGTTAACTATAAAAGGTTGGAGACTCCCAATGCTGGTCCACGAGAGGGTAAAATCACATTTGGGGAATCCCTTTTTAAGAATATGTAAAGCGGAAGTGTCCAACCTGCAGCCCGTGGGCCACATGCAACCCAGCATGGCTATGAATCATAAACTTACTTAAAAATCATAAATCACAAAAATCATAAACTTACTTAAAACATTATGAGATTTTTTTGCAATTTTTTTTGTAACTTGATTGCACAGTTCTCAGGCGTGAATTTTGCAGACAACAATGTTGTGTTGCAATGTCACGTAAAATAAACATACGTATGCTATTTGTATGCCTGCATGGCTTCAGTTTTACGGCAGTGTGTGGCTTCCAGTGTGTTATATTCCAAGCTCAGTCGAACTGACACCATCAGGAGTTACATGTGCTCATGGTGACTTGTCAAGTGAAACACAGCTAAGATCAATAATATTTTAACCTACCATTGCAAACAATGGATATTACAAAAACTATGCAATTTTTCTTTGCTCATTGGCTTTCATTAGTGTTTGTGCATTTAATGTGTAGACCAAGACAATTTTCTTCTTCCATTGAGGCCCAGAGAAGCTAAATGGTTGGACACCCCTGGTCTAAAGGGTCCCAAGGCAGTGAGGAAGGCTATAGTTTCCTGGGATCTGTTGATCAGGATAGGTGGTTCCAAAAGCATGGGGCAGAGACGAGAAACCAGCAAACAAAAATGCAGAAACTGGGCTATGTGTTATAGCTGTGATGTTCGCGGTTTAGACAGACTCTCAAGATGGTGATTACAAACTGAATCAAGCAATATTTGGGTTGCATCTCTTGGTGCTGTTCCACTGAAGGAAGCAGTTCCAGAGCAAGAATCAGGAACTGGGGGATTCCACCTCCTCTTGGTAGTTCTTCACATAACTGCAGCCAACATAAGAGGCTGGGAATTGTGTGATAACAATCCTAATAAATACATGGAATGTGCAGGCCACTTCTGCATCCAAATATGGACTGGCGAAAAGCACCACTGGGGCAAAATTGTGAAACAGAGGCTGAAACATTCTTTTTGCATCTTTTTTGCCCTCTCTGGGAATACCCTAAGCATTCAGTTCACTCTCCCATGACATATCACCCCCCCCCCACACACACACACATCTGTTATGACTGGAAATTTGCACTGCTTTTTAATAAAGAAGGAGGTTCGCTATTCCACAGCAAGCTGCAATTTTGTTCTTCTCCAGATTCTAGAGACATGCATATTTCTGGCTGCTGCAGCCTTCTCATTTAATAGAAATTATTCTGGTATAATTCTGCCTTGTTATTTACTTGTACAGGTCTAACTACTTATTCTCCACATGGTATAAATAACCATGAATAGTTTAATCAGAGCCCAAGGGAATAGCAGAGGGCTACTCCACTGTCAGGGAAGGACCCCGAGGGGGCACCCCAGTGCAACAGCACCCAACTCCAAATTTTTAATGCTATTCTATGTTGTTTATCTTTTTGTAAGCCGCCCCGAGACTTTCTGCGATGGGGGCGGCATAAAAATGCTATAAATAAATAAATAGATAAACAAACAAACGAACTAACTGTTATCTCTACTTTCAGTCTAAAGCCAAGGAAGCTGTTCTGGATCTACACCAGTGCTTGAAGTTGGTAATGAACCAGATGAAGGCAAGAAAATTATTTTTACATTTAAATCTTGCCATTTTTTTCTCCAAGGAACTCAAGGCAATTTGCATAATCCACAACCTCCTATCCATTTTATCTTCACAACAACCTTGCACGCTGTGAGGCTTAAAACTTCTTCTCTCTGGCATGTTTTAGATGAAAGAAAGGAAAAATGGGTATGCCTTTCCTCCTTTCAGTTCCCCAGAACTGATGCCGAACCCCAGCAATGTAAGTAGAAAATGCCCAGGTTTGTGGTCTGTAACGCTATATTGCAGGAGATAGCCTTGCACAGAGAATTTAAAAATGCCATTTGGCCTTCTCCCCTCTCCAGACCCCCCCCCCCACCTTTTCAGGTGCCAAGCGGATCTTGGAAGACCTGCCAAGAAGCACTGCTTGTAAGGAGTGGTTGGAATACAGTATGTTGTAATGCGTTCCAACACCACAGCAAACCCTGGTGATTGAGTACCTTGCAGAAACCCAAAGCCAGCCAGACTGCAGATGGCCCTAACTGTTAAGAGACTGGTATTGGATGGCAAATAAAAACTTTAAATAAATAAACCAGTCTGTGGTTGACAGCTGTTGGGTTTGTGTTTGTGTAACAGTTGTAAACACCACCACCAGTAAAAAATGGGAGGCAGGCAGAGGGAGGGCAATGGCTCCTCAAGACTTGACAAATTAAAGCAACTGTCAGGGGAACATGTCATGAAGTTAAATAAGATGTTTCAGGAGGAAGAAGGGAAAACAATGCAAAACAAAACACCCTTTTCCCTTTCCTAAAACCCAGTGCAGGCTGACTCATGCCACTTAGCTATACAGTGCTCAGATCTGAGGCTGGCCCTAAATAAAACAGCAGAAGGGCTGGTGAAGAGGAGGAAGGCATCCGTTGTCCCTCCCCATCCCTCCAACTCTCTGAACTAGACTCCAGTTCACGGTGGCTGCACGCCTCAACAAGAGCACTCCTTCCCAGGCTGGGGCTATTGCTGGTCCCGTTTGCTAATAACTGCTCTTCAACTTACCTTTGAAGAACAAGTAGTTCACAAGAAGCATCACAGTGCCTGGATTAAGTTCATCAAGAGCATGGGAAATTTTTCCATGAGTTTTGTTCTGCACATAATCATTTATCAGTTTTTTAGCCACTCTGGAAGCATTGAAGTCCACAGAGAAGCCTTCTGCTTCATAGAAGGCTTTGGCATCCTCCAGGAATGTTGGCAAGAATTTCAAGGACTGATCCATAAACAAGGCATTTCCTAGGTTCACTAGTGCTTTGCTATCTGTCTGGTGAAGCATATGCATGAGCTGCCGGAACCCTTCATGTATCTCCTTCTCCTTAATTTCCAACAGGTTAAAAGCAAGTCCTTTGTAAATCTCACCCTTGGTTTCAGATTTGGCACCTAAGGTCAGCAATGCAAAAGCTGTGCAGATGCTGAAGGGAGAGAAGAAAATATTTTTGGCAGCTGCATCTGAAGCTATGTTCCTGTAGAGTCTGAATGCAAAGTCAGCATTACTGGAAACTATCTTATGATAGTCTGGGGATGCGAGCTCCTGTTCTTCTGCCGAAGCAAGATGATGATGTTCAGATGGAGTTTTATCTTCGTGATCCTCCTGGTAGTCATGGTGTTCTGGGAGCTGCTGACAACGGACTTGAAGACTAATCAGTAACAAGGAGAGGTTGATGATGGGCTTCATTGGGATTTGTAATCCTTCTGCTAATAGTCCCCATAAAAGACATTAGAGGATCCAGAAATACACAGGAATGCTGCAACAGTGGGGATTGGGCCCTAGAGCTATACATTTACACAATATAAATGATTCACCTTTCCTGTGAGAATCATAAGGAGGAATTTTAGTAGTTAATGCTTAAATTACTGTTCTTTTTAAAAACAATGTAAAGTATTAGAACAATCTTTTTTGGAACATACTTTGCATGACTTGAAACTTTACTTTGAAAGAGTAATATTAATTCAAATATTAAATCAAAACAATTTCTTAATAATATGGTTCTCATATCATTTTGAAGTTATCTTTGAGATAGGTATAGAGTTTCATATTTTTTAATGCCTATATGAGGAGCCTTAGCCTCTGCCCTTCAGGCATTATTTAGTTATTTCATTTCATTTCTGTGCCGCCCCATAACCTGAAGGTTCTCTGGGTGGCTTCTCAGAATTGCATTCTTTCAAATTCTTCACACTAGTAGATCAAAAACAATAAACAAAAACATTACAAAAAATCTTTAGCTTTTAAACCTGAAGTTTTCTTATTATGCATTATACCTGATGATATTAGTAAACAAGAAATGTACTTGACTTTACATGTAATTACTGCAGCGAGGATTGCATTTGCCCAACACTGAACTGATCCTACCCACCCACCAATGAACTGATCCTAAAAAAGATCTTGGACTGTGCAGAAATGGGCAAATTGACTTTGTCACAGAAGGAGAAAGAAGATACGGACTTCTATCAAACTTGGGGCTCTTTTTATTATTGGCTAGAGAAACGGGGCTTCACATAGATTTAAAAATCTTCATAAGTTAACATAAAAAGAAAAAATGTGGGGGGTTGACCCAGTAGGTCCAATGTTTCTGATGATTGATGTTGCTTTTAGTTTTTCTTTGTATTAGGTTTATTTAGAATAAAACTTATAGGAAAAAAAAAACCCAAAACCAAAACCAAAACCCACTATTTGGGATTTCCCAGTTCTAGCAGAACATCAATGAAGATCTGCCATTATCTTTAATAGAAACTGAGTTGTACCCGCAGTGTCAAATTTTTAGGCATGGGACCAGAGAGTTCCATCCCACTCTTAGATGCTGGAACTCAGTTTTTTCTTAGGACGTTTGCACTGATATGCTGTCCTTTTTCATGATAAGAAAATAAAATCAACATCTGCTTGGACACAGGATAATGGCTCTGGGATTGCCTTGGAGAGGTATCCAAGCAGGCCATTGTGGAAGAGGGAACATATGGAACAGCATGAATTGCTTCCTCCCCGTTGTGCTTATAGTTGTCCCAGGGCCAGGAGCAGTTATTCGGATTCCACCCTTCATGTATTTTTAGGAGTGGAGGCTGGTGGCTTTTTATCTACTCTGGGTTTTATTCTGAACTTTGAAGCTACTATCCATGGTCCTGAACCTAGTTTGGAGATTGGGTCAGCACTATGGATAGTTTCTTTAAAGCTGAGAGTATAACCTGGTGCAAATAAGTGGCCCCACTGCCTCCACAGCTTTTTAACCTAAGCGGGGAGTGGATACATGCTGGTTTTATGGCAGAAAGCATGAGCAGGGGTAAACCAAGGCTGCAGCTACAGACCGACTCAATTTAGAGTTAACCCCCTTGAACTCAAGGGGATTTACATATAAAATTGAAAGGCCAGGGGAAAATGTTTATTATACTTACTGATCTCCGAAAGAATCCAATGGCACTCTGCTGAACTACAAACTTCTTTGCTTTGTAGTTTATATACCAGGTGTGTATCCCATTATGCAGAGCAAATAGTTATGATCAAAGCAAGTCAGAGTAAAACATGTTGCAATGCTCATGTAGCTTGACTCTGACCTTTAAGCAATGGAGTCAACAGTTGATCAATAAGGGGGCAGGTTTTAAGTATGAACAGCACAAACCAGTGCCCTTACAGAGTGTCCAGAGGGCCAGGGGATTACTCAGAGACCAGGCTATGAAACCAGAAAACAGTTCTGACCTCGGATCTGGCATTCCATGCTTGGGCTGGTCTGCTTCTCCCCTGCAGCAGACATGGAAATCCCACATGGTCTGCATCAATGAGGTTGCAAGAGCACCAACAGAGACTTCTCTGGAGGAAAGTGAGGGATTTTCACCAGATCCTCCTTTCCCCTCCAGCCACCCCGCTGCCCGAGTGTGCTGGGGGATGCAGGATGAAGGAAGACTAGGCAAAAATCCCATTCCTCCAGCAGGAGCACCCTCTAGGTGGAGTTCAGCTGATTAGCATCCTGGGGACAATGTTCTTTCTCTAGGTTAGTCCTACCAGCAGAGGCTGATGGGCCAAGAGTCAATGAGGTGGGCTGTCCACCCTGGATATCCATTAGGAGCTATCTATGGTGCTGAACAACTCCCAACGTCCTACCAGTTAGCAAACTTTCTTCATGCCCCTGTGCGGACTTTGGGATTCTCTGTCCAGTCAATTCTACCATGGCCCTTTCTTGATGGATGTATGCCACAGTATGGAGTTCTGCTACCGATTTTAGTGAACTTTTTAAATAGAGAAACAGAGCGAGTCAGAAAGGGTCTCCCAGGCCATCTAGTCTGACCCCTGGCTCTAGCTGGCTCTGCTCATGACATGACTACCGTGTGCGTGTCTACCATGTTCCAAATTATATTTAAAAGATCATGCTTTATTATACATAAATGTTCCCATTGCATTGAGGATGGATAGGCCTGACAATGTCTGGTTACTGCATTAATGGGGCCACGTGGACGTTGACGAGAGTCTGGAGGCAAATCTGTTTCGTCAACACCGTCTTAGCCCCCTTTACTGAAAGGCACGCTCCACTGTGTCTTCAGAATTGTATATAAAAGTGCAGCTGTGAACACACCAAGTGTAAATGCAAGCCCCGGGCTCTTCCCCTGGTAATTATTTGGGTCCACAATTTCCCCAAGAACAGCAGAACAGCATATCATGTGGGGAAGAATGCAAGATGAACATCAGGAAAGTCTGTTGAATTTGATGGTTAGAGGAGGGGGAGAAATCCCTTCGGACAAATGCACAAATTCAAACCCAGTGGCTGCTGTTGCTTCCCTGCCATTGCCTGAGCTGCCTGCAGTCAAGGAGCAAGAGCTCATAGCATGTAAGGCAACTCAGCGTTTCAAGCACCTGCAATGAGCCTGATGGGCATTGGGCCCATTGTGGGCACTTGGCTCCCTTCCTCTCTCTTCCCCTTTGTTCTTCCTGCTGGTATCCCAAGGGACACAGCAGAGAGGAATGAGGCTCCCTGTTCAAAGTTGCAATCCCAAGCCAGTGTTGTTTTCTGCGGCTGCCTGGAAGTCTCTCTTGTGCAAACAACGCTCCTGCCCTGAAGCACACCGGTGGCAGCTTCCAGCCTTGACTTGATACAGAGGACCAGAGGTTAGAACAACTGTGCTTGGGGCATCCTTGCAGAGGGCAGCCCCCTGCATGTTGCCCCAGTAGTGGCTGGAAGTTGACCCCCTTGTGCTTCAGAGCCGGAGTCTTGTTTGCACAAGAAGAAGAAGAAAAAGGAAAAATACCTTCCTTGATCTATTCTGAGCTGGTGCCCAAAGCACAGGGCAGCTGTGCAAGTGGACCAGAGCACCCTGCCTCCTCCTCAAGAGGAGACCTCTCAAACCGGAAGGGGAGACCTCTCAGCTCTGTGTCAAGGGCTCAAGGATGGGCAGATGGCATGGAACAGTGACCAGCAGTCTCTAACAGCTGACTCCGTATTTATTTTGCATGAACACTTTTGGGGCAAGAGTCAGCCATGCTTTCTGGATCACAGCTTGGCAAGAGTGGAAATGGCAGTTCTTGCCAAGCACCTCTCTCATTGGGCTTGGCCCATGTGGGGCTGCATTGCCTACGTCAGTTGGCTCAATAATCCATTGTGAATGCAACAAACCCTGCAGCAAATGGTTGGCTCATATTTTGGTTACCAAGCAGAGTAAGAATCCGTGGTTGCTCACTGCCCCGGCTTGCATGAGAAGCAACTGTTGCCTGCTATTCTTGGTTGCTTGTCATGCCTCCAAATCCAGGTTCTGAGTGACATCACATGATGGTTTTGCACAAGCAGAGAGCACCTCCACTAGCAAAGCACCAAATTTTGCCAATTTCGCCCCTCTTGTTGTTTCCAGCTCTCCACCACCCACCCACCTGCTAAATGAATGGGAGGATTGGGTGGGTGGTATTGGGAAAAATGAAGTATCATACCTTGCAGAAGTTAATTAGTACAAAGGTACCAATGAATACAACCTATTGTTAGTAAGGCTACCAATCCCATATGAAGCACCTGCCCACCTATTATATATTCTAGCAGCCCAATTATATATTCCATCTGCTGTAAATCCCCACAGGGGTTCCTTGTGCTTTGATGATTTAATTGCAAAGGGCATGTTGGGGTGTCTGTTCCTTGGATTAAAAAGCAAATAGGCAACCTTGAGAAGCATGCGTGCTCCTACAATAAGTGGTCGACGGTGATGACATGGCAACCCGGGGCTTACGATGCACATCCCTATTGACTAGTCAGATGCGAATCCCACTGAAGGAAAGGTATTTCCATCTGATTCTACATGCTACTTCCAAATGTGGCAGACATCTTGCTGGAGGCAGGATGTGCCTTCTACCCACATGGGATTTTAAGACTTCTGGTGAAGAGAGCTGACTAATGATAAATTCAGGACTCACATTCACAAAACCTGAAGGGTGCACACAACAGGCAAAGTAAGGACAGTGATTTAAGGTAAGGATGAGGAAATATGGATTGACTGTGGTAAATAGAGACACTGGATGGTATAACACACATCACCCGTCTCCCAGCTGGTGTCTCCAGATGTGTGCAACTAGAGCATCCATAGTGTCCCTGCCAGCTGTTGATTATGGGAGCTGTATTCCGCCCCAGATTAGAGAAAGCCAGTACATGCAATGGCAATCTGAATTGTTTGATATACTTTGATTTTGTCCTGCATTTCTTCCAAGGAGGTCAGGCCAACATGCATGGTTTCCTTCCTCCCCTTTTTATCCTCACAACAACTTGTGAGGTCGGTGAGGCTGAACGATACTGAGTAGCTGAAGATCACCCAGCAAGCTTTGTGGCTGAGTGAAGATTTTGCCCCCGTGGAGCCTTGTCTGAACCTTTAACTGTTGCACCATGGGCATGGACTGAGAGTACTCAATTGACTTGACCTGCCACTCAGTGGGGGGGCTGGGGAGAGGCTGAGCCTTTCCAACCCTGACCAAACACCAGTCGTGTGTCTCCTCTAGATGGGTCAGAGGGCAGCCTAGAGGAAAAAGTTCAAGAAGGAGGATTGGGGGGGGGGGGGGGGGGGGGGGAATCGCCTCTGTTGTACCTTGAGCTGCCAGCCACACTGCAGCAGGATGCAGGAAATTCAGAAACACAACTTCTGAGAACAGCTGCTTCCATTTAACAGATGCCAACCCTATTGGGTTGCATCCTTAAATGTTAAAATGTGATTTTCTTTTAAAGAGTGTTTTCTTTATGAAAATGCTCTGTCTTTAAAAAGTGCAACGTATATACTTTGGTCCATCTTCTCTGGACTGAGCTTCATTTTATTAGCCCTCCTCCACTCCATTGTCACACTCCGGGTTGGCAGACTGTGGTTGGCGCACTGGGTTGGCACATCCACAGTCTCATCTGATGGAGATGGAAAGAAGTAAGTCTTTTGCACCTTAAAAAGAGAGAGAGAGAGAGAAATGGACCACTATTTTTTCTGCTTAAGGGCTAACCTCCCTGAGGAGCTGTCAGAATCTGTAGGCTGGTGAGGAGAAGGAGGAGGAGGAGGAAGCAGCAGTGGGTGAGGTCAGAGTCAAAATTTCTTTCTGACAACCACTTTTCCCTCTGTTGTTTTGGCATCCCTTTAACCATCATTTTCTTGATGATTTCTTTATTTTCTTTTCTTTATTTTCCCAGAGAAGGGCCTCTCCCACAGATCTCAGGGGGCGGGCAGGCATATATGGACATAAGCGCTCCTTCAGGTAACCAGGACCCAAGCCGTTTAGGGCTTTATAGGTCATCACCAACACCTTGAATTGGGCCCGGACTTCAATGGGAAGCCAGTGAAGCTGACAGAGGACTGGAGTCATGTGAACATAATGCCCAGTCCCCGTCAGCAGCCTGGCAGCTCTATTTTGAACCAATTGAAGTATCCAGAACTTCTTCAGGGGTAGCCCCACATAGAGCGCGTTACAGAAGTCAAGGCGGGAAGTCACCAACACGTGTGTCACTGTCGCCAGGCAGTCGTACTCCAGGTAGGGGCGCAGCTGATGGATCAGCCGAAGCTGAAGGAAAGCGCTCCTCGCCACTGCTATCACCTGAGCTTCCAGTGAAAGCCCTGGGTCGAGGAGCACTCCCAAGCTGCAGACCTTGTCCCTAAGAGGGAGTGCAACCCCATTCAAGACTAGGTTCAATTCACCCTCACCGAAGACCAATCTGCGAACCAACAGGACCTCCGTCTTGTCTGGATTGAGCTTCAGTTTATTGGCCCTCATCCAGCCCATTACCTCGGTCAGGCACCGGTTCAGCACAGCCACTGCCTCACCCGGATTGGTGGACAACGAGAGGTAGAGCTGGGTATCATCAGCGTACTGATGATTCCACAGCCCACACCTCCTGATGACCTCTCCCAGCGGTTTCATGTAGATGTTAAACAGCAAAGGGGACAAAATGGACCCCTGCGGTACTCCATGGCATAACTGCCATGGCGCAGAGCCATAGTCCCCCAGCACCACCTTCTGGAATCGGTCATTGAGATAGGAGCGGAACCACTGC